TTTTAGTAGAGACGGGGTTTCACCATGTTGACCAGGATGGTCTCGATCTCTTGACCTCGTGATCCACCCGCCTCGGCCTCCCAAAGTGCTGGGATTACAGGCTTGAGCCACCGATTTTATAGTTTTAATATGTATTTTTTAGACTTTGGTAGGTTATTCCAATCTTGTTACTTGTGTGGGCTCTGTGTATGTGTGTGTCTGAATAGCTACTGAGAGGTATGTAGCTATGTAGATAGTAATTTTATGTCAAATGCATTGTATTCTGTATTTTGTTTTTAGCTTATTAACCTGTTAAATTGCAAGTAAAGGATAATTCCAAATTTCAAAATTTTATATAACCTACAAGTGGTATTTTCTTTTCGACTCATGTTTTTTATTGTGTTGAGCAAGGTATTCACTATTACCTGGATTGTAAGAAGTAAAATCAACTTATAATTTTCTATGTGTATATAAAACCTTTACAAATGTTAGAAAATTACAAAAATAAAATCAAGAATTATTACCAGGTTTGAATTTGGCAAGACAATAGGTATAAAAATGGTGAGTCAATGCTTTAATATACTCTTCCTTAATTATTAGTAAGTTAGAACATGCTTTCATATTTTTATTATTCAGTAGATTGCCTTTTCAATTCCATTGTCATCTTCCTTTTGGATAGTTTGTCTTTTTCTTACTAATCTTTAGATATTTTACTGTTCTGGATACTAATCCTTTCTTATCAATACTTTAAATAATTTCTGTCTTCTCTCACTTAAAATGTTTATACTAACAGAAGTTTCAATTTTTTTTTGTAATTAGAGCTATCAATTTTAATTCTCTGACCTTTTTTGGTTTTGTTTTGTTTTGTTTTGTTTTCTGAGAGATTTCTTTCTATCTAGAAAATAAAAATTGTCCAGCACTTTGGGAGGCCAAGGCAGGTGGATCACTTTATGCCAGGAGTTCAAGATCAGCCTGGGTAACATGGCTAATCCTGCCTCTACTAAAAATACACACACACACAAAAAGTAGTCAGGCTTGGTGGTGCACACCTGTAATCCCAGCTACTTAGGAGGCTGAGGCTGAGGCTGAGGCACAAGAATCACTTGAACCTGGGTGGTCGAAGCTGCAGGTTCCACCTGCAGATCATTCCAGCCTGGATGACAAAGTGAGACTCCACCTTAAATTAAAAAAAAAAAAAAAGAAAGGAAAAGAAAAATTGTTTTCTATATTTTCTAGGCCTATTTTTTTAAACAGTAGTAAGTTAACATCTTTTATTTGGTAGACAAAGGGCAATGTCTAATATAAATTTCCCCAAGACACTTAAAACCTGTGAATTTCTGACCAGTTCACAAAACCACTAAATGACACTTTAGCATGAAATAAAAAACAAACCTAACAGACTGTCAGCTCTAAAGATATTACAGAGCGGAAATTTCCAAATGTATTATATGAGCTTTCTGGGCAAATGACTTGTATAATATATTAACAGAAATTCACAAGATAAGGTTATGTTTTGACAGACTTAACAAGCATTCTTTCTTTGTCTCCCCCCCACCCCCCGCCGCCAAAAAAAAAGGCTAAGGTAATAATATAACGATTTCACAGAAAAAATTAAGGATACAAGTTATGCACAAGAAGAGAGGTGCTTGAGCATTAAAAACTGTTCTGCTCCATTGTCATACTTGAATTGTTGGCTCTTAAACCATTTTTAGTTAAATACAAGCAAAGGTTATTATATATTCAGCAATTAATAAGTTTTCAATCATTTAAGGTACAGTAGCTTAAAAAAGCAGACTGCCAATGTTCCTGATAAGGCAAGTTAATCCTTAGGCATGTTTTTTCAGATTAAACTTTTTGTTTTGAGATAAATGTAGATGTAACATATGGTTGCAAGAAATAATGATAATAATGATTGTAACTTTCCTGAGGCTTCCCAGCCATGCTTCCTGTACAGCCTACAGAACTTTGAGTTAGTTAAACCTCTTTCCTTAATAAATTACCCAGTCTCAGGTAGTTCTTTATATCAGTGGGAGAACAGACTATTACACTGTTCCTATTGACATTCGATAGAGTTATTTGAATAAATGTTTCTTTATTTTTTCTACGCCCTTAGGACAGTTTCCAAATACTGTTTAATGGTTG